AGGCCCTGGGGTGCAGTCAGGGAGGGGACGTCAGGGGCAGCCATGAGTCCTCCTTTGTCAGGATGCCTGGAACTCAGGGCTGCGACCGCACACCAGCCTGCCCAACGCGCTTAGACACAGACAGCGTGTGCTGGGTCCCAGTCGAGACAGATTGCTGGACAGAGGGGAGCAGGCCCCCCTCCTGCCTGCCTTCGGGGGCACCTGTGCTGCCTCTGTGCTCACCGGTCAGCAGCGGGGCTCCCACATTCTGGACTAGGACCACTGAGGCAGGCAGCCACCAGATTGCATCTTTTCCCTCCGAAAACGCGAAAGCCGCTGACCATGTGACATGACAAATGGAGGCCGGAAGTCTAGCGGGAAGGCTCTCCTTGGCCCACGCACACCAGCACTTCTGGCCCTCAGCAGCGGGTAAGGAAGGTGGGTTGCCATGAGCCCCTTCCTGCTCTTCCACCAGGTATGGGAAATGTCACTGTGAATGATTTCTTGCCCCTTCGATTTGGAGTTGCATGCCAATTGGCATCTAAGATCATATGACATCACGGCCAAACAGAACTGGGATAATTATTTAGATAATTCAAGGGACAGAAATCTGAGTTTTTTTGATACTGTAATGTCTTTTTCTAAAATCAAAATAATTGTCTGCACTCTCTACTTCATTCCCTTCAAATATGCAAATTAGGCCCAACTCTTGCAAAACACCCAGACAACTCATTTTCCCGGGAGGAGGGACCCCCAGAGCCTGCAGTGAAGCCGGAAGGAAGGAAGCATCACGGTTTGTGGTCACTGAGTTTGAAAGTAAATTAACCTCAGGTCAGAAGGTTCTGCGATGCAGAGAAGTGCCATATAACAACTGGTGAGAGCAATACCCGTGGCTGAGCAGTGGCTGAGCAGACGGAAACTGGAGCCGTCACTAGGACTTACTTTTTTTATTACAGCCTAACATTTTGCCAAGTTCTCTGACGCCTAAATGCATGAGTAGAGTACCAGAGATTGAACTCTGCCTTAAAAATGTGGAGATATGTACCCATGATGAAAGCAAAATAAGGATTTTACCGGCGGGTCCTTCGTGAGTGTGAGTGTGCTGTGGCAAGAGCTCCGTGTGCCTTGCGCCCTCTAAGCTCCAGCAGGCACTGGTGGGCAGCACTGGGCACTGGTGGGCAGCACCGGGCACTGGTGGGCAGCACTGGGCACTGGTGGGCAGCAGCAGGCACTGGTGGGCAGCACTGGGCACTGGTGGGCAGCACTGGTGGGCAGCACCGGGCTTTCCTCGGCCGCCGCCCCAGGCAGGACTGCAGTGAGCACACGGCATGGATGCGCCGGCCTCTGGCTTCTCACGGCGCCACGAACGCCACCTGTGCCCTCGGAGCCCTTCCTGGGTCCCAGCAGTGGCCCTTCGCACAGCTCCTCGTGGAAACGTGAGGGGGCCCTGCGGTGTTGGGGTTCTTCAGAGAAATGGAACCCGCAGGATAGGAGGATACCCACATCGCTTTGGGTATGCCTACACCTGTGTACCTATCCATCCATCCGTCTCCCTAGAGCAGAGGTTCTCAACCTGTGGGTCGCGACCCCTTTGGGGGTCGAACGACCCTTTCACAGGGGTCGCCTAAGACCATCGGAAAACACATATATAATTACATATTGTTTTTGTGATTAATCGCTATGCTTTAATTATGTTCAATTTGTAACAATGACATTGGGGGGTCACCACAACATGAGGAACTGTATTAAAGGGTCGCGGGATTAGGAAGGTTGAGAACCACTGCCCTAGAGCGAGGGAGGCCAGATTCCTCCTGGGGAATTGCTTGTCCGTCTGCCAGCTGCAGACCCAGGAGAGCCCAGCCGTCCGCCAGGCAGTGCGAGCCTGAGGCCTGAGAACTGGGGTGCGAGGGTGTGACCCCAGGCAGGGCAGGAGGGGCTGCGGTGAGATGCAGTCTGCTGATTCCAGGGTTACCTCCTTGGAAACACCCTCACAGACACCCCAAGTTGTGTTTAATCAGGGTGCCCTGCGGCCAGGCAGGTTGATACATAAAATGAACCATCACATCTGCCCGCACTCCCAGGCCTGGCTGGTGGGAGAGCGGGCAGCAACTTCAGAAGCCGTGCTCCCCCCTCCACCCCCCACAGTGCACTCTGTCCTGCAGCCAAACCAGCAGCGCTTGAAAAGGCTGAACTCAGAAACGAAAAGCCACAGTCAGTGCTTTGTCCCATTGGTTCCAGCGGTTCTCAACCTCCCTAATGCCGCGACCCTTTCATACAGTTCCTCATGTTGTGGTGACCCCCAACCATAAAATTATTTTCATTGCTACTTCATAACTGTAATTTTGCTACTATTATGAATCATAATGTAAATATCTGATATGCAGGATGTATTTTCAGGGGTCGAGACCCACAGGTTGAGAACCGCTGGTTTGGGCTGCTGAGCGGCACATGCCCAGCTCTCCCCCCACCGCCATGCCCGGCGCTGACGGCTCCCCAAAGCCCGCAGCCAGTGGACCCTCTGGCTAACAAGTATCCGCGGCGGCTCCCTTGCATGGAATTCAAGGCCTCGGCATGTTGTCGATGCTCATTTTGCAGGCTTAGCTCCTCTCCCCTCTGAATTCCAAACTGCGGGCGGCAACTCTGAGGGGCTGCCGGCGGTTCCCTGGGAACCACCACACAGTGCGAATGCGCGCAGCAGGGCTGTAGTGCAGTCTCCCCGCTGCGCCCCCTGTGAACCGGAGCTGGCAGGTCCTGGTTCCAGCAGCGAAGGCACGTGGTGCCGCTGTGCGGCCCTGCTCCCTGGAGCCCAGGTCCTGTGAGGAGGCTTTGGGCCGTGGGGGGGCAAGGGAAGGGAGCAAGGGAAGGGTGGTCCCTCAGCCTGGCCTGCACCCTCTCCAATCTGGGACCCCTTGGGGGATGTCCAACTGTGGGATCGGGCCTAAACCGGCAGTCAGACATCCCTCTCACAATCCAGGACCACTAGCTCCTAACTGCTCACCTGCCTGCCAGCCTGATCACCCACAACTGCCCTCCCCTGCCACGACCCGCCTCCTCCGCCAGGACCTGCCTCCTTCATGCAAGGCGGCGGAGACGCCGGGACTGGCCTCCTCTGGGCCGCATGGAGCTGCGGGACCCCCAGACCTCACAGCACAGAGCAGCCACTGGGCCCCACCTCTGCTGTGCACGTGGCCATCTTGTGGCGGCCATCCTGTGGTGGCCATCCTGTGGTGGCCATCTTGTGATGATGTCATGCGCGAGGGTGCAAGGACCACCTAGGCTTTTATTAGTATAGATTTATTTTTAATGACTTTTTTTTTTCAATCCTCACCCGAGGATATTTTTCCATTGATTTTTTTAAAGAGAGTGAAAGGCAGAGAGAAATATCGATGTGAGAGAAACACACCGATTGTTTGCCTCCTGCACACATCTGCAACTGAGTTACGTGCCCTTAATCAGAATTGCACCCGGGACCCTTTGGTCCACAGGCCGATGCTCTATCCACTGAGCCAAACCGGCTAGGGATGTCCTAATATTTTAGACCAGAGATTTCCAACTTTGGTTTTTTTATCCCACAATATTAGCTGTAAAAAATATTGAGTACATTTATCTATCCTTCCATCCATCAATCCAAGGAGAGACTCAGAAAGGAAGGGAGAGAGAGAG